TGGTATATGAGATTAAAAGTTATTACAAACTGTATATTGTTTGACTTATTTACACATCACATTATGTCTGATAATGTACACATTCCACGAAATTCAACAAGGACACGTTATGGCACTAAAAACGTACGCTGATCGACAAGAGTGCGAAAACACTAATCAGAAGTGAATTTCTAGTCCAATTTAATCAAGTTAGCGGCCATATTGTATTTGATCCATTTTTTGAGAAACGACGCTACTCGTAATTTGATAGTATTTAAGTATTTAAACAACATTATTTAGCCAAGTCATTGCACATTTTTTCAAGTTGTAAATTAGTATCATAAAATGCACAATTATTTCTAATTCTTACTATAATGAAGTTCACGAAGAATAAAACCTGTAGCGACCTTAATATGCAAAACAACAACAACAAAAACACACGCTATGATCACAGATAAACCTAAGTAGTAATGAAGTTAAGACCAGTCGGAATATTGATATTTGGAAAGCGAGTGTAACAATTAGTTATATATCATGCAAATTTTTGAATTCCTTTTACGCGATTGAACGGTTGGATGAAAATAACTGTAATACTTGCTAATTTCTAATCGTAGTGTTTATCCCTTAAGTACAGTTTTCAATCAAATCTTTGTACATTCACCCCGAATTGTATCGTTATAAGCCATTAAGTTTGCCGCTAAGCTACCAGGTGGCAAACATCCTGGGCAATTGTATTGATACAAGGACTTTGGTTAAGGATGTATTTATCTTTAACAGGTAATAATCAACCTAAAATTGAAATGTTAACTGCAACTGAGTAAGAGCAAAAATAAAAAAGGAAGGAAGAACGAAAAGGCCAATGCATTGACAATCTTGTTCAAAACGAATAAAGATGTAACTATTTTACATGATGATAAAGATGTAATGGTTACAACACTAACTATTTTAAATGATGATAAAAGTGTAATGGTTACAACAGTAACCTATTTTAAATGATGATAAAGATGTAATGGTTACAACATTAACTATTTTAAATGATGATAAAGATGTAATGGTTACAACACTAACTATTTTAAATGATGATAAAGATGTAATGGTTACAGCAGTAACTATTTTAAATGATGATAAAGATGTAATGGTTACAACACTAACTATTTTAAATGATGATAAAGATGTAATGGTTACAACACTAACTATTTTAAATGATGATAAAGATGTAATGGTTACAACACTAACTATTTTA